AAAATATAGAATTGCTTGATCCACTGTTCGACGCTATTGATGGATCTTATTGGAGTTGGTAAAGAGGATTCTGAACGAAGGGTAGTTAATTCGTTCAAGAGCTAATGAACGGTATTGTATCGACAGTTAATGTACACGGCTACATACGATCCCATTTTCTCCGAACTAAACAAACGCTTCATTACCATATCAATTATTTCGTTTAATTACCGAAGCCGTGTAAAGACCGAGATTGAAACATAAACGTAAATTACAGCCTCCCCTAATCGCGCACGGCTTATATTCTACGATTCTGTTTTCGCTCGAAATAGCTTTGTTAGCAGCCGGTTCGCTCGCTTCCGCACTCTATCTACGCGTCTCTGGAAAAACGTCATAATTGCGGAAGCCATGTTGGGCCCGCATTATTCACAAAACCCGAACGCGCGCCGTAAATGGCGACAATTGAAATTCTAAGCACAATAGAATCGAATAAAACTGCAAGCTGGTCGCGAACACGTTTTCCTTTCTTCGACAGAAAATGTTGTACAATATCTTCGGACTGAGAAAATATTAAGTACTATATGTACTTAATATTATACTATATACAACTATATATACTAACTAAGTACTATATGTACTTAGTTTTGTTCATAGAATCCAAATTTCGAATCCGACATCCGAATGAAACTAGATAAATCTAAGAGACGTTAGAATTCGCTTCGCTTTCTTTATTAGAAAATGCAGTAAAATATTTTTTGTTCGAAAAATAAAATGGGTCAATGTACCTTTCACCTGACTTTTTTTACTTAAAGTTAACATTAGTTAAAAGATACTGCGAACTGTATCTTATCGAGTAAAGACTTCTCTTCCACGAAATCTCATACTTTTTCTGTTTTATCCGAATCTACATATTCTTAAATCTACGACAACGAGTTTCCATTGTTCTTTTCGAATTTCCTCGCAAACTGACAGCATGAATTTCACGAGCGTGGATAACGCGAGCCGAATTCGATGGTGCAGCGTTCACGTTACGGATTGTAAGTCGCTTATTGTAACAACAAGAAGTGTTTACGCTTCACTTTTACAATTAGCACGCAGGAATCGTTCGCGGCTCGGTCAAAGGAAACAAATCGTGTAACTCGTAAGCATTCGAGATTCTGCAGGAAGCGATGTTGTTCTGCCGTGCAGAAGCGGCTTGTATTCGTGGTTTCAGTTTGCGTAACGTTAAAGTTTACATATATACGTATGCGCGCGCGCGCGCGTGCGTGTGTATGTATGTATGTTTGCGGGTGTGTAACGAAGCATACGTGGGATCTCAGTAAAATGAACCAAGGAGGCAGCTCTATTGATTAAATAATGACTGCTGAGCGCTTCAACTTTGCATCGACCGCTTTCGAAACTGTCTGTGTGTGCCGAACCACTGAAGATACAACGCAAATAACTATCATTTTCTGTACATACACGTAATTAGACTGCGACTCCTCGCGCAAAATGGAAATTTGCTGAGCGAGCTTAAGAAACCCGCGATATCGCGTTGCTCCTTTCATTAATATTGATCGGGCCATGATACTGCAACGTTATCCCCAAAGTTGTCTAATATCAGCATTTGTTCTAACAATTATTAATAATAAATAATAGTCCAATTAGCAACACACCACGATTAATGTTAAAAGTACAGAGGAAAAATCGAGCGAGCAAACAAATAATTAACATCGGTGCCAGTTTCTAAGGTATAAATTCTTCGAAACGGAATTCGATTGGTTAAAAAATCATATTTTGATTAACGTTAAAAATATAAACATACTGCGAAATTGTGCGATGAAACGGAACACTCGTACAAAAATCGAGGGTTTTATTACTTTCTAAGATACAAATTTTGCATAACACAATTGTAGCGGTTGGAAAAGCGTTCGTTGATCAATGTTAAAAATGTACAGCGAAAAACACGTGGACGAACAAATACGTTCGTACAGAAATTGATGGTTGCGTTAATTTCGAAGATGTGGATTTTTCTCGAAACAGAATCGGATTGGTCAGAGAAACATATACATATTTAGAGATACGAATGAGATCATTATCGAGCAGAACGTTAAACATCCTGAATCAAGGTCCTAAAAATAAACGACATTTCGTTGAACAAACTAAGAAAGCATGGAAGTCGCAGGTGAGAGAGATGCAAACCCTAAGCAATTCGAGCGGAAACTACGAAAAAATTTTGACTAAAGAACGTTCCAGGAGAAATCGCATTTATTCGAGCGACATATTATAGTACGACGGGGTTCCGAGTCGCGCGATTTTATTGGAAGAATTTTACGATCGAGCCCTCTGGAGGGCACGTGGCGGGAATGTTAAATAAAAATTCGTCGCCCGTAACAATAATTTCTGCGCGGTGCCGGTTGTAAGGAGGAATATTGAAACGTCGCCGCGTCGACGTATTACGCGAACATTATTCGTCGATCGAACGACACTGTACACGTTACGTGTACATTCGTGCGCGGGGCATGGCAACACTGGCAACGTTCCGCGCGTCTCCTGCGAGAGCACTTTCCGCCGAGGAACCGGAATCCCGAGATCCGCTATGAATTACAACTCACGGACTCCATCGGTCGCCACTATTTCCGTTCGATTTGAATTTTTACAGGCAATTTATTCCGGCCTGCGGGAACGAGCTCCGTGGATCGATGAATTATGATCGGCCGCGCAAGGTCGCCGTAATATCATGCACTATTACGACGACGCGACGAGCGAACACGGCCTCCTGGCTAATGCTCTTTACGTTTACGATTAGCTACGGACAACACGCTGGTAATCCAGCTGGAAAGAGCGTTGATCCCGGAATTATTTTAGCGGCGGGATTACTGTTCCGCTCGATCTCGTTACGAGATGCCGGTTAAAAATTTCGTCGGCGTTGGACAGCTGTTTAAATCGCGATTCTGACTTGGTCACAATGATTTTAATATATTAGATCTACCGGAAAGTTCTGTCCGATAATGTCATTGCAAATTTCAATAGGTACGCACATGTTCGTTTGAGACATATATTTTTGAGAAATGTTGCTCACAAATTGCCATCACGCTGGCAAGAGGTCATAAGTAACGACGGAAATTATATTGTGTTACAATAAATATTACTAAATTTATGAAAAATCTATTATTTCTCCNAAGAGCGTTGATCCCGGAATTATTTTAGCGGCGGGATTACTGTTCCGCTCGATCTCGTTACGAGATGCCGGTTAAAAATTTCGTCGGCGTTGGACAGCTGTTTAAATCGCGATTCTGACTTGGTCACAATGATTTTAATATATTAGATCTACCGGAAAGTTCTGTCCGATAATGTCATTGCAAATTTCAATAGGTACGCACATGTTCGTTTGAGACATATATTTTTGAGAAATGTTGCTCACAAATTGCCATCACGCTGGCAAGAGGTCATAAGTAACGACGGAAATTATATTGTGTTACAATAAATATTACTAAATTTATGAAAAATCTATTATTTCTCCTTTCATTTCTTAAACGGACAGAACTTTCCGGTAGACCTAATATATTTGGTTTCTACATTGCATGTTATTCTTGCGCATTTATCATTGTTTTTCATTTGTTCGCTCGTGTAACATACGAATGCAAATGATTTTGGCAAAATCGGAGAAGAAGCGAAAGTGGAGGAAAAAGCGCGCGAGGAGGTATTATAATAATTTGTAATTACTATAAATACATAAAATTGCCGCATAGAATATATAGGATATATGTATAGAGAATTGCCGCACAACTTGATGCAAAAAATGATTTTTTCCAGATACGACTAATTTGTGTGTGTATGTGTTGTGCTTCAACGAAAACAATATGAAAGTAAACATAATTCATATAGTGTGATATGCATTATAATTATGTGAATACGAACATATACAAAGTGACCTCTGGTTTATTGATTGTATTTTGTATTATTTGTTACGTTCAGCATTATATGTATTTGATTATATTCTTGATATATTATAAATAATTATAACTGTACCATAATTACGTTAATTCATATGTATATTCGTGTAGAAAGATCTGTTGACGACAAGAATCATCTTGTTCAGCTAGAATCGCGTTTTAAACCACTGTGCGCCGGTGTTTTATAAATCGGCAGCAATGCGGTTAAATGACGTTGCCAGTGTGCGGCGAAATCGTTTTATTATTTAAACCGAGAGTGCTGAAATAGTGTTTCACTGTATTTTACATCCTTTGACGGAAGATGCTGCGCTTTTGAATCGTAAGCAGGCTTTCGAAGCGAATTTTGAAAATCCTTTAATTGGACTGTTGATCTTCATTAAATGATGAGAACAATCTTTATCTTACTTTTCTGCATCGCATGCTTCGATCGAACGAGATTTTTTCTCTCTTGTGTCAATTATGAAAATATATATTATATTTTTGTCGATTTTGTCCTTCAGAAACGATTTCCTTGTTTCGAAAGCAAATTTCAAACATTGTGAAATTTCAAGTTTGAACAGAAGTTAATGAGAAAGATAAAATAATAGCGAAAAGACTCTGTCTCGTTGCATTTTCCAATATCTGGTTCTTTCATGAGAGAGTTAACAGCGAAATGCTCGGACGCCCCCCCCCCCATTTGGCGTGAGTTGCAGATGTTTAAATCCTGGCAAAAGATTGTAGAATTATTTTACTACAGAGGCGGAGTAAATCCTCGTTAAATGGAAAGTTCGACTGCTAATGAAATTTTTAATATTGCAGTTTGACACGAAAAACAAAGTAATTTTCCAACACCAAAATTCTTTGATAATTACCTGCGGACCCCTCTAAATTCTACCAATCAGAATTGCAACGTCATTTCTAATTATTCTACTAACTGATGATAATCTAAAATGCCTTCTCAATGACCTCCCTAAATTATGGTTTACATTTCTGAACTATCTGTTAGGCGGTAAAGTGCTCGCGATGTCTGTGTACGACAGAAAATCATTTTCTCCGTTCATATTTTTGATGAAATTCAATCGAACTGCGTGATTTAATTCGACTCACCTTTTCCTTGTCACCGATGTGGATCAGCAATTTCGCTTTGCCCATCTCCAGGTAGATTTGCAATCTATCGGAGCTGTTCTCCAGACTCGTTGCCAAAAGCAGTCCCTGCGACCTCGTGGTTTTGAAACGCAGGCTGAGTTCTTCGGCTTGCGTTCTCGAGTCCTCTGGCATGAGCGCCGTCATCTGTTGCGTTCCGTTCAGATGCAGCGTTGACGCGTCTGAAAAAGACAGATTAAAAAGAATTATTGGAAATGGTACGTGCTCGATTTATAATACAAATTATTCCGGCTGCATCTACACGGCTGTCACGGGCACTCGTTGAATTTTATAATTTCCGGGGAAGTGTGGAAAACGTGAAATGAAAAGTGGAAAATGAAAAATCACAAACGTGAAAACATTGGAAGTGGAAGGTAAAAAAGTGAAAAATAAAGAACCATACGACAATGAAAAATGAAATGTCCGACTGTCTCCTCTCTCTCTTGCAACTGAAGCAGAAAATTCCCATTCTGCACAAACATCCGCAGTTTGACTACGACACAATAAAGTGATACATTTTTTGTGAATATCGACGTTTTACTTGTACGCGATGAATTTTAATTAGTCTTTTAAGAACCAAAGAAAATTTACGATTTTCTAATAAATCGTTCAGCAACAATCGCACAGATATTCGAACGAACTCTCCTTCGACGATTCATCATCATTCGACAATTTCTTTCACAATTTCGACATACAGAAAATTTTTAAACTGCTTTTCGAGGAATTATAATCGAGCTTTGATAAATAGCTGTTTCTATCTTTTGCACACATTTGCACGGTATGCAATTGATTCCTATTTTGTGTGTTCAACGTTTCGTAATTTTTTGGAAGTTTAGCGAACACGATTGACAAGTTGATTCGTCGTGCTTATCCAACAGGTCCGATTAATAAATCTCTGAGATTTCAATATAAAAAAAAAAGGAATAGTGAGGAGTCAGCAGAAGACGATAGCAAGCAGAACTGACAAATTGATTCGACTTGCTTATCTAACAGGTTTATCGATACCAAATTTTATGAAATTATTTCACCGCGAGGAAACTTGCATGAATTTGTTCGTCTAGACGACAGTTCGATCGACCGGAAAATCCTGTAATATAGGAACAGAAAGAAAACTCGGTCTTACCTTTTCCGCATGTAGGACCGGTGAAGGGCGTCGCGGTACAATCGCAATGAAACCTGTTCCACCCCTCGAGACAATGGCCGCCGTGCATACAAGGCTCCGAGGGACAGTGGGGTTGGTAAGAAGGACAAGCTGGTCTGACAGCGCCTGCAAAATTGTCCGGAGAAACGAAATTACGTGGACAGTGACAAGTGTTTCCGGTTCAAGTCTTTCACCCGTACGGAACCGACGCGACAGGACGCGGCGCGGCGCGACGCGACGCGACGTTCCTTCGTTTTTGTAAAAATTTCTGGCCCTCCGGAGGAAAACATTTCTGTCTCTGGCAAACGAATTCCATGCATTTCATCGTTCATAATGTTATGCATAACGGCATGGATAAAAAAAGACCACACCGGATAAACTTATGATCGCTGGGAGGGTTTCGCGCATCTCGCTTCTAACAAGTGGTTAAAATTGGATAATTTATTAGGTCAATTTAAATGTCACAGTATTTTAAGAGAAAGATTAATTGGTCTTTTTTTAAATGAAACGGATATATTATTAATTAAAATATGCATCGTTTGGTCGAACATATTATTGCGAACTTTTGCTTTCGGGGTTTCGATATAAAAAACGTCAGATTAATATTGAATTTCTCTTGTAATTTATTTCTGACGAGATAAACTGTTTCCAGGAGAATAGCATTTGCGATTTTTGCAAATGTAAACGGTGAGAGAAAGAAAAGTTCGATTTATATATTTTTTCAAGTAATGCAAATTAAATAAAGTTGAATTGATTGGGTATTAATTTCTGTCAAAGACGCATAAATTAAGCATAATAATTTCCAAATTTTGTTTAATGACAATAATGGGACAGTTTAATTTTTAATTTGTGTAAATGATGACAATTTAAGAATATTTTAAGTTATAATTTTCGTAAACAGTGTAAAAAGAAAAGCTTAATCTGCAAATTTTGTGAACAACAATAATTAGACATAGGTTTTTAATAATTATCACAGATTTAATTGAAACTTAATAACAGAGTAAATAATAAATAATTAACGTTGACAAAATGATTATCATCATCTATTGCGCGATACTTTTCCGAACAAATTCATCTAATATTTATCATCTAATTGAATAAATATTTTATTTTCAATTATCATCAGTAAAATATTTTACAATTAGATTGTTAATAATTATCTTAGATAGCTTAGGTAGATAAATGATGAAATACACTAGAATTAAAAATCATACTATATCGTAAATATTTTATATTTTTTATGCAGTGATTATTAGGTAATATAATTACTTAATAATAAATGAAGCAACATAATACGTAAAAAAATATTCCGAAAGAAAGTTTTAGAAAGCGGTTCAAGTTCACTTTCAAACAACGTTCTCTCACAAGCTGTGGTGTCCGAGTGGTTAAGGAGTCAGACTCGAAATCTGATGGGCTATGCCCGCACAGGTTCGAATCCTGTCCGCAGCGAAATTTTTTTTTTCCTGAAAAATTATTTTTTTTCGATCAACTTCACATCCTCGGTCCTCACGATCATATTTCACCAACAATTGTTGAGAATATTTAAAAAAAAATATATAAGCTCTCAAATCACTGTTACCACGAGACTTCGCGTCACGTTGTCTCGACTGCAATTCTGAAAAAGTTATAATATTCCTATTATCTCAGTATTCTATATGCATTTGTCGCACTATGAATAAATTATTTGAACTAATATTTATCCTAAAGTCATTATTATTATCATACCATATTATAATCTTTGCATGACACGTTATCGAAGTCGTTACGCGACTTTATACTATTGTAATCATTTATTTAACATGTGGTGAATTCATGTATAAAATTCAAATGTTGCTTGAAAAAGAATAGTTATTTAAACTAGTATACGTTTAAAATCTATTATTATCGTACGACGACGTAACTTTGCATTACGATATTGGTTATTCTTTCCCAAACATCTTTATCACAATTTTTTATAAACATTCACTGCGCACTAAGTAGATTATTGAAGCTATACGCGAAGCTGTTTCTAAGATGAAAATATCCAAGGTTCATCAATGGTCATAACAGCCGTGCTCCACCTTATCTCGTGCACATAATATGTGATTTACAGAAATCTATCGGACATCTATTACGACTGTTTATGTCTCTGATATTTATTTTTTAATTTAAAAAAAATGACTATCCTCGCAATATACGATTGCGTAAGTTTGTATTACGATATCGATTGTTCATCGTCTCGAAGCTATACATCTGTCTCAATCCTTCCATACGAACTCAGTTACGGTAAATAAATTATTTCAATCTTAGCTGTGTATGTACTATGAAAAATCTATTCTTTGTTCGGCTTCGCGAAGGTTCGCTTTTATGCGGTTGCTTTTGCTTACACGTTTCCATTTTAAACGCAATTGTAAACTCATGGTGTACCATGTAAATTGACATAATAAATAAATTACGCTATTGCAGCGCGGTGCATAGCAAACACTGCCGCATTTCCTAAATGACGTAGGAACAAGAATGCGGTATACGGGAAGTTCGTACGTTGCCGCGCGCATGTGACTCTACTATTAATATTTTGCGTGTAACGTAACGTCGAATATTGCTCGCACTAATCATCAACGAGCTATTAGTATGAACGCCGTAGCATCGCTCATTCCGCCTGGTTTCGTCGGACGTATTAAACGTGCCGTATATGTACCGTCGATGAAATACCAGCGAACTTTTAAATCGTTTTATATAATTCACAATGTGTCTATAACGAATCTTTCTTTCAAAACTTATTTTTATTTTGAATGTATGTAAATCGAATTAAAATAACGTCCAACGAATGCTAATTCAAACTGGTATTGTAATACTACAATAATATTGCTATAATTAAAATATATAATTTGTATATTTATACAGGTAGATTTAATAGAAAATTTTAACTTTACAAACAAATAAATTGAGAAAAATTATTATTGTGAAATATTAAGTTGAGCCATTATTAAACAAGTCATATTTTAATAATGCATTGACTGTATTATTTGTATCTTCTTTTTATTATTTGTTAGGTAGCTGAAGGATATTTAAGGATGACAATTACATTGTTATTATTGTCATTGTGGATAATAAATTTGTATTATTTTTCAAGTAGATGAATAAATTTTGTCAATTATGTTTTGCACGTTCTCAAGAACGGAAATTCTTTGTGAATTTTTCCAATAGAAAATTGATGTCCCAGGAATATTTTTCATTTGAGTTTCTAGCATGAAATTGTCCATAGTTTCTTACCAGAGTCCTGTTGTTGAGCATAACCGACTATATCGATCTGCAAGCCGTCTATGACAAGCTCCCTCATGCAGCCGACGTAGCCCTGTCTCAGAGTACCTGTCCACAGTACTGGAGGCACTGTTAGGGGTGCAAATGGGGCGCCTACGCCCCCAATGTACAGCAATCCATCCAGATCTAGTTCCATTGAGTCACCTAGAAAACAAAAATTAATCACTTCTTAATCTCTGTCCTGCAAACTTCCTTTTTACATCATTTTATACTCGATTGAATATCGATCTTTTTTACTGTCGAATATAAATTTTTACATCATTTTATATTTAAATATTAATTCTTGAATCTCTAATATAAATTTTACAGTGAATTATGTAACGATAGAATATAATTTGAAAATTTAAATTTCATACTGATTTTTAATCTTTGAAAAAAATGAAGATAGATCGAGTACTCTACTATTTGTAATTAGTTGAAATTATTAAGAGTAGTATTTTTATTTATTTCCTATTTTTTGCCATTGACAGTAAACATTTTTATTTTATTTTGTATTTTTATTCTATTTTCTATTTTTATTTTATTTTGTATTCGTATTCTATTTTCCATTTTTATTTTATTTTGTATTTTTATTCTATCTTCTATTTTTATTTTATTTTGTATTCTATTATAATAATATGTAAAATCGAATTGCGTCATTTTCAAGCCTCCAATATCCAATTACGTAAAGTCTGTTGTTTTCTGTATACATACTTTGCGCTTGAGTGTTTATAAAATGTGTTTGAAATGTCTCGAGAATATTGGTATTCAGCAATCCAATTTCGCTCGGAAAATGTTTTATTTGCGTTACATTCGATTCAATTACAGTATTGTGTTCCTTCGATGAGCGAACGTGAATTGGCGTTAAATGTGTAACAACAGCTTCCAATAAATAATAAACAATCAAACTGTACGCGAATACGTGTACGAAGTTCGTGTTCAAGACTGCAATATTTCAGGTTTTGTAGAATCGTTTACAATAATTTTAATAAACTCATTCGTCCCCTGCAAGAAACCTCGAATGCCCAGCGTCAGCCGAACGATTCTGTTTTTATTAAAATTACAGTCTATTCGAACGAATTAATTAAATATCGAGTAAAATCGAATATCTTTTTCGTTCGTCTCTTATCGATTACATTGTTGACACGTTTTAATGTACCGTCGTTGCGACTACTTTAATAAATATTTGTTCGAGAACTGTATTTATCAAACAAAAATAATTCACAGACTCGCGATGGAAATTTCAAACAAAATAAAAATGCGCTCTCTTACTATCCTGCGGATTTTACGCAATCGTAGCAGAAACATAGAATAGTGACAAAACATTGGACAAATTTTAGAAGCAGCGCGAAATGATTAAGAAAAGAAATAATGCCACTGTGCAACTAAGGTCGATCACTTCTGTTGTATCTTTATTGTGCATAATGATTCAGTCCGCGTGTTATGAATAATCAAGCATCGGATTAGTCGCAGATTGTAATTTGTTTTAATGAAATAATCGCAGCCCGCTAGAAGATGCCAACAAACAGCTTCCGGGCGACGGTATAGTGAAAAACTTCTATCAACCAGTAACTTTTCCGGCGGTTCCGTGGAAAAATGAGAATTTCACCGTTCTGGCCGTAGTTTCCTGGCACTCGACATAGATCAAATGCAGCGAAGCTTATCTACGAATGTAACGAACATCTCTCTCTCTTTCTCTCTCCCTCCCTTGTCGCGCCACTTCTTCATTCTCTTTTTCCACGCCGACGCTCTTCCGGCTCCTAATCGAGTTTCGTAAGCGATATCGGGACGTTTCAGTGACAAATGCAGAACGGCGAATGATAAATCGATGCTTGCTGTAATTCATACGCTTTCTTCCGCGTCTCGACTGATTCACGACGCGTGAAATTCGCCGCCGGTCAATCATTCGCCGATACACTTGATCTATTTTTAATGATCGATTATTCGTAGCGACCAGTTCTGTCGCGGATCGCATTCATCCTCGGATGATATGTAGTATTAAATGCCTCCTCTTTAACACCCTTCGCCGTTGCCACTTCTATCTGGTACGTTCCTTTTTTCTTTTTCTTTTTTTTTGAAAAGGATACATGCAAACTATACCGGATATGATCGCTGACAATTGTGCCATTTTCAAGATAAAAAATTTTTGTTTCGTACGATCTGCACCGATGTAATCTTATAGCGAATTCTATTTAACTGGAGTTATTATTTTCAACGTTGTATCATCTTTTATTCTATTTGAAGCGTTCACGAACATTCGTGACTACATACTACGAGCTCGTATCTCGTTTCTCGTTCGAACGGCGGTTCCGAGGCGTTCCTTGGCGCCGACCATTTCGCGAATAATCGGCCGCGTTTCCACGGTTTTTTATTTTACAGAAAAATTCGTGTCCCCGCGTGGCACAATTGGACTTTCAGCAGCGGACAGTTCGCCGGGAGATTGGTCCGAGTGGTAGAGTGCGCTCAAACTATCAGTAATTATTCATTCGGTCCGGCTAGAGAACACGTTGATGAGGCCCGTTATTCAACGTTAATTAAAAAGTCGTGGGACTCGTTTAAAGTCTATTATCCTGGCGCAATTTTATTTATTTTTTTTCCCCACGCGAAAACTAGATTCTGCTCTCGTCGGTGCGGGCCGGCGCGGCGCACTGCGCGGCGACGGTGAATTTCGGCGCTCGAATTACCCGGCTGCGTTCGGGGGTGTGACGTGCACGATGAAAATAATGGTCCCTCTTCGCGCAACCCTTTCCAGCGAGCGTGCCTAATCGTTCCGTAATCTTTTTGCGAGCCACCGACCGACCGGAACGCCGTTATATCACGAGCCTGGAGACCCCGTATTTCAGGGCTATGTAAGTATGTGTGTGCGTATGTATGCACGTGCGCGAAGATAACAACAGAGATCCTCGAAACGTTTATTTCCGGCGCGGCTCGCCGTCCCGCACGGCACGATGCTCTGCGACTTAAACTGTTGTTGTATCTAAGACGCGTTTTCACGGCTAAATTCGTCCTAATTCACGCTCAGATTGTGCATAAAAATGGATAATTTAGGATGGGGATTTTTATAGTTACCGATCGTCAACAACTATAAAAACGAGCCGCAAACCTCGAATAATCCTAAATTGTTCATTTTTTGTGTACAATCTGAGCGTCAATTAGGGCGAATTTGCTGTATTCCCGCGATTACAGTAAATTCTCTCTAACTGACGCTCAGATTGTACACAAAAATGGACGATTTGGGAAAAGGAGATACGATTATTCGAGCCTCGCGGCTCGTTTTTATAGTTGCCGATTGTTAAGAATTATAAAGAAAGTGGTGCAAGACTCAAATAATCGCATCTCTTGTTTCGAAATTGTCCTTCTCTGTATACAATCTGAGCGTCAATTAGAGAGAATTTACTGTATCTGTTACAAATAGCTCGTTGTCTGCGAGAACGGCACAATTTTATTTATATTATAGAACGCGATCGAAAAGTACCATTGTCTTTGGATGATGCAACCAACGTTTTCCTGACATCGTGAGTGTTGAGATTTTAGCCTCGAACAAAAATTAATCTATAGTTTACTTAGTACTAAGATACTAAGATATCGGTTTACATTTTCGCCGGTTCCGTCAGCGGGCAACGACGGTGATGTAAACTGTATTATAATGCCACTCAATAATATGTAACTGTAATTCGAGCGTTCAGAAATAACGGGAATGTTTAATAATAACACGAAGATGCTGTTAGACGTTGCTAATTTATTTCTTGCACTTTTAAGATTCGCGTACGCCATAAATATGCAAAGATCGAACGACAGTGTTGTTATAATATAACAGCGTTTATACGATACAAACAGCTTAAAATAATCATAGAAATTATTATTAGTCCAAAAATTATTGTACAAGCGGGTTCGCGAGGTGATTTGGAACAACTTTTTCCTTTGCGAAAATGCGATCCGTGACTCCGTTTACGAGTTATTAACGAAAAACGTTGACTAATCAGAACGCGAGTGCGACCAGCGCTCCGCCCTCGCCGCGTCAGAGGGCCGGCGCGACGAGGCATTGGCCGCGAGGGCGGAGCACT